GAGCTGGGGTGCGGGGCTGCGCGTACGCCCACCCCCCGCACGGCCTAGCCGGGCCAGCGCAGCGCCTCTGGCGCCCCTCTTCACCCCAGCGATGTGTTCGGAGAGGCAGCGCGGATTCCCCCCACCCGGGTCGGCCCACGAGTGCGCACAGCCTCGTACTGGCACTTACTGCAGGTAAACATGAAGGCTGGCTGCAGAGGGGGCGGCCTCGTCGGGGACCTGGGAGTCACCGCAGCCTGCGCCCCGCCCTGGCTCGCCGATCCCCGGGCGCCGGGGACCGCCGGCCAGCACCCGGGCACCTAGTTCTGGTCGCGCCAGCCAGCCTGGGCGCTAGTCTGATGGGGCCGGGAGCTGAGGGTTTTGGCAGTTTTGAAACCATCATATAAAGACAGGCTAAACGGGGACCTCAGGAGTCCCCATCCCCTGACTGCATTGCAGAAGACCATGGTATTTTTAAGTAGACGTGCCCTTGATAGTTTAGACCTGAGGAGAATCGTGCAAACCGTAATTAGAAGGCTGGGATGAGTCAGTTAACACGTAAAACAATGGAGCAATTAAGACGGTTAGCATACCCACTGTCTGCGTGCATGCACTGCTGGGAAGGAAAATTAGGAAGAGTTTTCAAGATAGAGACCTGGCTGAACTGAGGCCTCTAACCGGACCAACCATCCAAGTCTATGAGTCTATGTAACAGTTATCTTCTTCTTCATCAAACTTGAGTAAAATCATTATTTGAAATAGCAACGTTTTGTGTCTGTTAGCACAGGCCTTACCCCAGCTGTGCCCTTTCCCTCCCTTCCCCTGATGTGGCTGCAGTGCACCAGCCACCTTTACCAGGTGGAAGAGGCAGAGAAGATGTAGAGGAGGTTGGCAAGGGATAAATAGGCCTTCTCACGTCAAGTAGTTGCTAAATGTTTTGCTTATTATATCATGTCCAGTCATCACAATAACTACCTAGGTCAAATGCTTTGCAGCTGTACAGGCCTTAGAAAGGTAAAGATCACAGCCACGTGTGCAGGGCTGAAATGAAGTGTGGTTTATGTCAAGTCACACTCACACCTCTGCCCCCCACTACCAGTGCCTCTCATTTCATGCCTCTTACCAAAGAGCTTTTTATTATCTGACACCACTTTCCCTTACTTCTCTGAACTCTTTCCTCCTAGCCTCTCTTTGCATTCTCACAGGTGCCTGGCTGTTGCTTGAAAGTGCCCGGCAGGA